GTGCATATATATTTAGAATTGCTATAGCCTCTTGCTGAATTGACCCCTTCATCATTATATAATGACATTCTTTGTCTCTTTGTACAGTTTTTTGGCTTTAAATCTATTTTATCTGATAGAAGTACAACTGTTCCTGCTCTTTTTTGATTTCCATTTGCATGGGATACCTTTTTCCATCCCCTTATTTTCAGACTATGTATGTCTTTATAGGTGAGGTGATTTTTGTTGTTTGGTTTTGGTTTTTTGTAGGCAACATATAACTGGTTCTTGTTTTTTAATCCATTCTGCCACTCTATGTCTTTTGATTGGAGAGTTTAGTCCACTCACACTCAATGTTGTTATTGATAGCTAAGGACTTACTACTGCCATGTTATTTGATTTCTGGTTGTTTTGTGGTCCACTCTTTCTTCTTTCCTTCCTGTCTTGCTTTGTTAAAACTGGGTTTTCTCTGGTAGTGTGTTTTAATTTTTTGCTTCTTATTAATATTTTTTGTGTATCTGTTGTAGGTATTTTGATTTGAGGTTACCATGAGGCTTGCAAAAACCATTCTATAACCAATCATTTTAAACATATGACACCTAAACTCTGCTTGCAAACAAGCAAATGAATAAAGAAGCAAAGGGAAATCTAATAGAAATTCTACACTTTATCTCCGCACCCCACCCCACCCCACCCTCCCGCTTTTTAACTTTGTGTTGTTGCTATTTATATCTTTTTATACTATCTCTTAAAAAAGTTCAATAACTTATCTTAGGATCTTTTAGTCTTCCTACTCAAAATGTAAGTGGTTTATACACCGCAATTACAGCAATAGAGTATTCCATATTTGTGCACTTACTGCTGCCAGTGAGATTTATACCTTCAGGTGATTTCTTATTGTTCATTAACATCCTCTTCTTTCCAGATTGAAGAACTCCTATTAGCATTTCTTGTAGGACAGGTCTGGTGTTGAAGAAACCTCTCAGCTTTTGCTTGTCTAGGAAAGTCTTTATTTCTCCTTCATGCTTGAAGGTTATTTTTGCAGGATATAATATTCTAGGGTTAAGTCTTTTTTTCCTTCAGCACTTTGAATATGTCATGCCACTCTCTCCTGGCCTGCAAGGTTTCCACTGAGAAATCTGCTGCTGGATGTATGGGAGCTCCTTTAATATGTTGTTATTTTTCTCTTTTTGCTTTCTTCTCTTAGGACCTTTTCTTTATTCTTGACCTTTGGGAGCTTGATTATGAAATGCTTTGAGGTAGTCAAGGATTTGGGTTAAATCTGCTTGGTGTTCTACGACCTTCTTGATATCTTTCTCTAGGTTTGGAAAGTTCTCTGTTATTATTTCTTTCGATAGACTTTCTATCTCAGTCTCTCTCTCTACCTCCTCTTTAAGGCCAATAACTCTTAGAATTCTCTTTTGAGGCTATTTTCTAGATCTTATAGGTGTGTTCATTCTTTTTTAATTCTTTTTCTTTTTTCTCTTGTGACTGTGTATTTTCAAATAGCCTGTCTTCAAGCTCATGAATTCTTTCTTCTGCTTGATCAGTTCTGCTGTTGAGAGACACTGATGCATTTCTGTTTGTCAATTGAATTTTTCAGCTCCAGAATTTTGCTTGATTTTTTAGAATTATTTCAATCTCTTTGTTAAATGTCTCTGATAGGCTTCCTGTGAATTCCTTCTCTGTGTTGTCTTGAAGTTCCCTGAGCTTCTTTAGGACAGGTATTTTGCATTCTTTGTCTGAAGGATCACATATCTCCATCACTCTGGGATTGGTCGCTGGTACTTTATTTAGTTTGTTTGGTGGGGTCATGTTTTCTTGGATGTTCGTGATGCTTGTGGATGTTCGTTGATGTCTGGACATTGAAGAGTTAGGTATTTATTTTAAGCTTTGCAATCTGGCCTTGTTTGAACCTGTCCTTCTTGAGAAGTCTTTCCAGATATTCAAAGGGAATTGAGTATTGTGATCTATGTCTTTGGTCACTGCAGTTGTATCAGCACTGGGGGCACCCCAAGCCCAGTAATGCTGTGACTCTTTCAGACTCCTGGTGGTACCTGTTGGTGGATTTGGGTAAGATATGGGAGAATTCCCTGGATTACCAGGCAAAGTCTCTCACTTCCTTCCCTCACTCTCTGTGCTGGGCTGCTGGAGTAGGGGGAGGAGTGATGTGGTTACCCCCTCGTGGCCACTGCAGCTAGAACCGCATCAGGGCACACCTGAAGTTAGCCTAGTCTCACCCAAAGCCCACAGTGACTGTTGCCTGGCTACCTCTGATGTTTATTCAAAGCCCAAGAGCTCTTTAGTCAGCAGGCGGCACATCCTACCAGGACTGGGTTGTTCTCTTCATGGCAGCAGGTTTTCTTCTGGCCCAGGGTGGGTCTGGAAATGCCACCTAGGAACTAAGGCCTGTAATCAGGGGCTTCAGGAGTCTGTTTGGTAAGTTTACTGTGGGTGAGCTGGTACCCAGGTTGCAAAACAAAGTCCTCTGCGCTTTTCCCTTTCCTCTCCCCAAGTGGAAGAAGTCTATCCCTGAGCTGCACTGCGTGGAGTTGGGGGAGGGGTGACACAGGCACTGGCTTGGCTACCACTACTGGTGTCTCACCGGGTCACATGCACCCCAACGCCACTGGCTCTAGGCCAGCACAGCTGCAGGAATTGCCCAAGGACTGCAGCGTTTGTGGCCTGACTGCCTTACAAATTTATTCCAGGCCCCAGGCTGCTTTTAGTCAGCTGGCAGTGGGGCTAGCCAGAACTCAGGGTTTCAGGGTGGAGGATTTATTTACCTCTGGCGGGCCTGGTCTAAATACTCCCTCCGTGGGTGCTGGCAGTATTCTGCCCTGTGCTGTGTTCCCCTGTGACAGGGCGGCCCTGAGTTCCAATGCAAAGTCCCACAATCACTTCGCTCTCCCTTCCCTGGGCACACAGATTCAGATTCTCTCTCTACTCGGTGGGCTGGCCTGGCACTTCCTGGGGGATGGCGGAGGGGTGCCATAGGAAAGGCGAGACTGTCTTTTCTGCCCTCTTCAGTGCCTCTTTCCTTGATATAACGTTAAAATCAGGTACTGTGATCGCTCACCTGCTTTTTGGTTCTTCCGAAGGTGCTTCTTTGGGTGAATACTTGTTGAATTGGTTGTTCGGGCATAGGGGCAGTTTGCTGGAGGTTTCTATTCAGCCACCTTGTTCCACAACCCATTCCCCAGGACTACACTTTCTGAGATATGTGTCTAGCTGTCCATCTCACTCTAACTTAAGGGTTCACAGAGTGGTGGTCATAGTAGTGGTGGCGAATAGTTACTTGGAGGGTCTGAGTTCTACCACTTTTCAAATTTATGGCGTGAGGTTTTCCTACCTTGTTTTGTTGTGGCTTTGTGTGCTTTTTGCTGGCCTTTACCACTTTTATCAGGCATTAGAGGGGGGAAATTCTGAGGTTTGACTTTATGCCATCATGTTTTTCCCTGGCAGCTGACAGAATAATTTACACTTCCAGTCCAGATATCTCTTTTGTTCCCTAGGTTCACATAACCAACAAGGTTGTTAACATCTCCTCTTGTATGTTGTGGCAATCACTGTCCTTGGCCCACCCCACAAACATTTCCTGCTCCACCTTTCCTATTCAGATATTTCACAGGCATCCCTTGCCTTCATGGAGGAAATCAGAACTGATCTAAATAATTGGTAGTGTTCTCCATCCTGTTAGTTATTGATGGGCCTAAGGGTGGATATGCAAGGGAGGCTAATGTGATAAAGAGGGATTCTACTAGGGAGAAGCCTCCCCCCACCTCTGAATGTGATGGTTAATTTTATGTGTCAATGTGACCGGGCTATGGGTTGCTGAGATATCTGATTAAACTAAACATTGTTTCTTGGTGGTCTGTGAGGGTGTTTCCAGAGGACATTAGCATTAGGATTGGTGGACCGAGTAAAGCAGAGAGCCCTCCCCAGTGTGGCTAGGCATAATCCAGTCCACTGAGGGAGGGCCTGAACAGAATAAAAATCCTAACTCCAGTGGTATTGGCCTCTCCATCCCTGTCTGAGGGGATTAAGTCTGCATTGCCCGAGGAGACTGTGATGCCTCCCCTGAGACAGTTGTTGGCATGCAAGACAATGCTGACTCTTCTCAGGACCCATCCCATCCCTCCTCTTTGCTTATACAACTATACCTAGACTCAAGTCCCAGCAGGCCCTAAAGGTGAGGTGCAAAGTGTGAAGCATGGGAAGGTGTGCTGCCCTCCAAAAGAACTATCTGAGTTTTCTAATTTATACAAACAGAAATCCAGGGTACATATGTGGGAACGGATACTAAGCATGTGGGGAAATTGTGGAAGGAACATAAAGTGGGATCAGGCTGAATTTATTGATAGGGGATAAGTAAATAGAGATTCTCCACTTAATGGTGCATCTTGGGGACTTATAAAGGGCTCTAACAGCTTGTGTGGTTGGTTGGCTCAAACATGGACAGAAGGATGACCCACAGCAAGGGAACTGGAAATGCCTGACCCACCTTGATTTAATGTAGAGGGAAGGATTCAAAGGCATAGGGAGATTAGAATGGTAGAGTGGATTTGTCATTTAAGACCTACTCACCCACACTGGGAGGGTCCAGAAGGCATGCATTTCACCAGTATTGTGAGAAATAAATTTGTGAGGGGAGCCCCAGCATCCTCGAAGAGCTCTGTGATTACTTTTCTCTGTAGCCTAGACCTTACAGGCAGAGCCGCAACCATTCAACTGGAAAGCCTGAATGCAGTGGGAGTAATTGGATCTTGAGGTGGCAGGGGCCATGTGGTGGCACTCAGTCACCAAAGGCAAGGTGGATGTGGTTATCATAATGGACAACAGAGTCAAAGCAGCAATCACAATAGTCTGATTCTCACAGACTTATGGCATTGGCTAGTCCATCATGGTGTTCCTAGAAGTGAAATAGATAGGAAGCCTAATAAGTTCTTACTTAATCTGTATAATCAGGTCTACTTGGTTCTGCTATTGCTAGAGGCTTACAGGGTCTTCCCTGACTGTAGCGAAGGTGCCCCATCGCGGGTGGGAGAAAAAGGCCATTTGGGCTGTGTGTTGTCCGCGTAGCCGACAGGAAGCAAACACGTTCTCGAAAGCTGAAGGCTCCAGCGACCTCTCTTACCACCATCATAGCAGTCCCAGGTTGCAACAAGGACAGTGTTAAAGCAGGCTGTAAAAAAGTGTGGCTACCCTGGTCACCTGACTTTTGAATGCTGCAATTTTCTCCGAGTAGACCCCAAAAGGGACATAGTTTTAGATGTCAGCAGTACAAGCACTGAAGATAGTGATGAAGAGAATGAAGAACTGAATAAACTACAGGCATTACAGGAAAAAAGAATAAATGAAGAAGGGGAAAAGAAAAAAGAAAAAAGCAAAGAAAATCAAATTGAAAATAAGAGGAAAAGGTCATATTCATCCAGTTCCACTGAAGAAGATACTTCAAAACAAAAGAAACAAAAATATCAGAAGAAAGAAAAGAAAAAAGAAAAAAATAGTAAATAAAAAAAGAGGAAACATCACAAAAAGGAAAAAAAAGAAGAGGAAAAAGGAAAAGCATTCTTCTACCCCTAATAGTTTGGAATTCTCCAAAAAGGAACTGAGACTGTGGCCTAGGACATTACATTTAAAAATTTGTTTTTTAAAATTATGTACCCTTCCTTGGAATTTGCTATATATTCTGCTTTGCAATAAATCCCGGCCTTTTCCATTAAAAAAAAAAACAAAAAAAAAACCACTGTGTAATCAAAAAGTTCCAGGCCAAGTGGCAAAAATCCAGCCTGAACCATGAGAACAGACAATCATGGTCCCTCAATCAGTTCCCAGACTTGAGCCAGTTTATAGGCCAAGAACCCCTTCAGTGAAGGGGAGGCTGGGTCCTCTTGAGGAAGGATCCCAGTACACTACCAAAGATTAATACTGTGATCTTTTTTTCCAAGCTTTCCCCCAAAGGCCTACAGCCTTTTACAAGGGGAACTGCACTGGGGGAAAGGAAAAAGTCAGACCTATTGGGGACTATTGAATACGGGCTCTGAACTGACACTAATTCCGGAGGGCCCAAAACATCACTGTGGTCTGCCAGTCAGACTAGGGGCTTATGGAGGTCAGGTGATCATGGGTTTCAGCTGAGGTCCGTCTCATGGTGGGCCCAGTGGGTCTGTGAACCCATCCTGTAGGTATTTCCGAAGTTATGGAAGGCATAATTGGAATAGACATCCTCAGCAGCTGTCAGAATCCCCACATTGGTCCCCCAACCTGTGGAGTGAGGGCTATTATGGTCGGAAAGGCCATGTGGAAGCCGCTAGAACTGTCTCCACCTAGAAAAATAATAAACTCTAGCTTTGCTTCTTGAACAAAATGATAAAGTTTCAAAAGAAGAAAACTTTTTCCCTCTTTTACCCGTCTTCCTGCCTTGGACTTGGACGTGTTGAACAGCATTCGTGATCATGAAGAAAAGGTCCAGAAAATTATGGGGATGTCAGCGTTGACATTTTAAATCACTGAACCAACTCCAACAACCACCTTCATCTAGACCTTTTTCATCAAAATGTAAGCCCCATGATTTGTTTAAGCCACTCCTATTTGGGTACCCTGTTGGTATCTGCAATGGTACCTGCTGCCAAAAGTATTACTAACTGAGACACATTTATTTCGTACACCTCAAAATGAACATAAGTGAACTCATGATCCTCTCCACTAAACTTCCTTTTCTTATGGTTTCTCCCATCCCAGTGAAGGAACACCATCCAGTAGTCACCTGGACGGCTAAAAATAGTTCTTACCACATCTCCTCTGGCCCATCTCCAGTGCAATCTCCAAAAGCAGCCATAGTAATGTTTTAAAGGGAACTTTTCTGATCATGTCTACCCCCTTGCTTAAAATCCTCTAACGGCTTCCCACTTAACTGAAAATTAAGTCCAAACTCCCTACAGGGTCTATAAGACCTTATGTGATGTGACTCTTACCCACCTCTCTATTATAGCTTCATGTCAACTTTGGTCCTCCTCCATCTCTAGACTAGCAACACTGACTTCCTTTTACTTTCTCATCCTCTTATTCTCCTTTAAGATCCCTCTTTTGTCAGCCTAGTATACTTTTCTCCCAATATTTGCCTCAGTAACTCTTCCTCATCACTCACATTGCAGCTTACACATCATTTTCTTAGTAAGTCTTCCATGGACCCCTGCCACTAGGTCAAATCCTTCACTGAATGCTGCTAGAGCACCACGTTCACTTTAAGCACATATAACCTCTAATTACTTACTCCGTTTTTCTGCTGGACAGTAAGCTCCTGAGCACAGGCACTGTGTCTGTTTTCAAACAAAAGTCCTCATCCTCCCACCATCAACATTTTAAACATACATTAATTCTTAAGCTAACTTCTTCCTCCGGATGTGAGGGAGAAAATGTTTCTCCTCTTAACCCCTCACTTGTACTTTGGATTCCATCCTGCCTCACCTTCTCAAGTACTCTGAGACTTTGACTCTGCCCCCACACAGACACTTTTCAGAATCATTAGTCTCTCCCTCACCTCAACATCATTAATGTAAACATTTAAGCATCTCCCTAGTGCATCTCATGTTAAAAAACAAACAAGAAGCCTCAGTTGAGTCTACCTCTTCCTCCTGCTACTGTAGTATTTTTCTACTCTTCTTCATAGACAATTTCACTCTAAAGAGATGGGCAAAATTTTAGATTTAGAAAATGCTGGGTGTTCGTGAGAATATAGAGCAAAGGCACAACCCCTGTAGACAGTAGAATTTAGATAGGTATTAGAAAAAACAAATTAAATCAAATATACCAATAATCTATGATGCAGCAGTTCCACTTCTAGGTGTATATCATAGAACAACATCTTTCCAGTTGCTGCCTACGACACTATAGTGAATGTGTTGTGAAATCAGTTTGTGGGTTGTGACTACATTAAACAAGTGAACCAGAAGAAAATGGAATAGAAAATATTAGATTGCATTGCATGTCGTTAGGGTAAGTATTGTTGTGTGAAAATTTTATTTCACTTACTTATATGTGTGTGCTTATATGTGTGGGTACGTGTGTGCATGCATGCTTGTGTTCTCCAGGACACAATACAAAATGTATTCCTTTCTGGGGTTTCTGTCAGAAAAACTTGCAAAACACTCTCTCCTAGACAGTTTCTTGAATATGTGCCAAAGGAGATCTGTCTATATGTGACTGTTCACTCCAGTGTGGATCAAACACCGGGAAAGAGGCTGAGTGGTTTTCACAGAGAGTCCTGTTGAATGCACCCTATTATTAGGAGCCTCCTTCACAGTGGTGGCACTTTGGTGAGCATTGACATGGGACACAAAATATTCTCAAATTGTGGGCCCATTCGAAGAGGTCCATCCCCATACCGCCTCCTCAAACCTTCTCACCAATCTGCCAAGCCTATTACTACTAAGTCCCCGATCATCCAGCCCAATAATTAACCATGGCCCATACATCAGTGTAGATCTTGGCTTCAGGCCTCTGTGCTTCTTGGGAGAATGGACGGTGACATGTATTTATCAATGTTGGGCTCACCATGATGATTTCCTTTTCCCCACTGGACTTCGGGGACACACTTGTTTGGGACTGTAATATCACTGCAATCCACATCCACAAGGTTGCAGCACACCCTGTAGAGCCTTTCTTTAAACCAGGCTACAGAGTTTTTCTCCCCAGTCACCAAGTCGCAAGAAACTCCCAATGAACCCGTATGTTGGGTGTGGGTTGACAAACAGGTGGCAGCATAAGGAGGAATAAAAGCCAAATCTTGTATATGTCATTTCTCTTTAGTGATGGACGTCTACTGGTTATACTAGACTTTATGGTTTAGTGGATTAGTCAACACCCAGTTAATGATGGACAGCTCAGGTCGCATGATCATCTGATTTCTCTTGGTCAGTCTCTACCAGGGCTAGTAGCAAGCTAGGAGCAGTCTCCCAGAAAAGATAATAGTTACTTGCTGATGAAGGCATGAATTTGCTCCAACCCTAGGGTCCACTGACAGGTTTCTCTCATCAGGGATTACTACAGACTCCATAGGGCATCATGATCTGTTACAGACACTTCAAGCACCATTGGATCCCCTGGGTCATAAGGGCTTGGTGGCAGATCTGCGTGAACTGCAGCCCGGGACAATGGGAGAGCCTTCATTTACTCTGGGCCCTCACTGAATACTAGCCATTTTTCTTGTCACCTACAAAATGGGTTGGAGCAGGACACACAAAGGTGGCAAATTTAATTTTATCTTCAACATCTAAACTGGCCCACCAAGCATTGTGTCTCACTACTGCTAGGGGATGAAAACTGAAGCAACTTGGCCTCCACATTGGAGGGACTATCTTGCCATGCCTCAAGTCACTGGACCCCTACTGGTTTCATAGAGGTGGCAGGCTTCTGTAATTTCAAAGGATTTAACTCAAAGCTTTTGGAATCTCATGAGTCTTTCCAAGGTATCTAGGGTACCTGCTACTTTCTCGTCTCTAGGTCCTGTCAGCATGATGTCATCAACAGAGTGGACTAGAGTAATTCCCACTGGATGACGGTGTGGTTAAAATCTCCAAAGACTAAACTGGAGCTCAGACATGGAAATATGATATATCTCTACAGGACAGTAAGCGTATAGAATTTTCTATGCTAAAGAAATCAAAGTGCTTTTAATGTTCTCTGCTTGCTGAAATGTAGAAAAGAGTATTGATTTGCTCTGGTAAGGGGGTCACATCTGGGAAAGTAACTGCTGTGGAGTCACCACCTGGTTGTATTTAGGTCCATTCATCTCTTGCACTAGCTAAAATTGGAATGGGGATAAGATATGAATTACTACCTCTGCATCTTTTAGTATTTTGGTGGTGGCATGAAATTTCTGATATTCCCACGGGCTTGTGATATTGCTATCACAATAGGTTTAGTATCTTGGTAGGGAGGAGGGAGGAGAACATCTAGCGACTTCTTAGCCCTCCTTAGCACAATAGCTCTTACTCCACAGGTTATCGAGGCAACATGGAGATTCTTCCAGTTTCTGAATAAGTGTGTGCATGCATGTGTGCGCATGCGCACGTGTGCACGTGTGTGCGTGTGCGCGTGTGTTTGTAGTCCACAAATACCTTCAGGAACTAGAGAAACAACGATGGGATGAACTTTCTTCAAAATTTCGTCCATCATCTGACCCTGATAAGCCTCCCTCTGACTGAAAGACCATGGTGGCATTCTGCATTCCAAGGCATCAGAGCAGAGTCAATCGCCAGTAACCACTAAAGGTTTGGGTGTTTCCCTTTCTGCAGTGCAAATATACTTAACTGACTGGCCGCAAGTTCCTTGAAGAGATACTAGAATGAAGGTTCACATTATATGTTTATGTTTGTTCCCTGACTTTCTCTTCACTTAAGGGGCTCTGGGTCTATGAATTGACTCAAAGTCAGGCACTGAAATTCAGTGGATGTTGGTTCAAATGACTCTTCTGTCAACAGACCTCCGGGGTTTTTGAAATTGTTGTATTTACACCGATAAAATATACTGGTTTGCAGTGGATTTTATTTCAGTCAGTTTCTTTGTTTACCATTTGTTCCTGCATCTCAGCTCTTCTGGGCACAATTTTCTTCCTCTTGAGGTACCTGTTTAAAAGTTCTTTCAGGCCAGGTGCGGTGGCTCACGCCTGTAATCCTAGCACTCTGGGAGGCCGAGACGGGCGGATCGTTTGAACTCAGGAGTTCGAGACCAGCCTGAGCAGGAGCGAGACCCCCGTCTCTACTAAAAATAGAAAGAAATTAGCTGGACAACTAAAAATATATAGAAAAAATTAGCTGGGCATGGTGGCGCATGCCTGTAGTCCCAGCTACTTGGGAGGCTGAGGCAGGAGGATCTCCTGTGTCCAGGAGTTTGAGGTTGCTGTGAGCTAGGCTGATGCCACGGCACTCTAGCCCAGGTGACAGAGCAAGACCCTGTCTCACAAAAAAGTAAAATAAATAAATAAATAAAAGTTATTTCAGCTCATGTTTGTCTGAAAATTATTTTTATCTCGCTCTTTTTTTTATATCTATTTTTTTTATTTTTTTATTTTTATTTTTATTTTGGCATATTATGGGGGTACAGATTTCAAGGTTTCAATAAATGCCCATTTCCCCCCTCCCCCCAAAAGTCTGAGTCTCCATCATGACCATCCCCCAGATGGTGCACATCTCACTCATTATGTATGTATATACCCGCCCCCTCCCCCCTCCCACCTGCCCAATACCCTATTACTGTAGTACCTATGTGTCCACTTAGGTGCTACTCAGTTAATACCAGTTTGCTGGTTTATCTCGCTCTTGAATGATAGGGTAGCTGGATATGTAATTCCAGACTGTTTTCCGACTTCTTTTATTCCTTGTGAAGTCTTCAGTCAGTTTAATTTCCATTCCATGGTGGTAATCGGCATTATCTCTCTGCCTGATTTTTCTTTGGTGTTCTGTAGTTTTGCTATGATGTGCCTAGTTATAGATTTATTTTTCATTTTTTATCCTGTCCAGGGCTTGTGCTTTCTGAATCTGAGTATTCACGTCTTTCAGCAATTCTGAAATATTCTCAGCCATCAAATTTTAAAATATTCTCTTTAGACTCTTCTCCTGTAGCATATATTAGACATACGCTGGTCCTTTTTGGTCTCTCCTCCATGCCTCTTAAGCTCTCTTTCATAGTCTCCATCTTTGTATCCCTTTGTGTTGTATTCTGGATAATCACATCAGCTCTGTCTTCTGTATCATTATGTCTCTCTTCAGGTTAATGTTCTGTTGAACCTGTATATTAGGTGTTTGTCTTCAGTGACTACATTTTTCAATTCTGGAAGCTTTCTTTGATTCTTTTCACGTCCAACTTTGAAAAACACTATCTTGCTCTTTTTCTTATTTTCGCACGTCTTCTTTCATGTCTCTTACTTAAACATACTACCTCTTAGTCTCTATATGATAATTCTGTTAACTGAAATTCCTAGGGGTCTAATTATGCTGTCTGTTGTTTCAGCTGACTCTTGCTCATGGGAGATTGTTTCTTCCTGTGTTTTGTGATTTTGGAATTTGAGTTCCTGTTTGGCATGGCCTTGCGGGAGTCCTGTGGAGCGTGTCCCTCCAGAGAAATGCTGTGTTTGCTTCTGCCAGGCAGACAGCCCAAGGTCTCACCAGCCTGGGAGCACCTTTAATGTTAATTTACCAGGCCGAAGGGTCCTGGACCATGAAGATAGTATAAATTCTAACCAAAAATCGTATGTGATACAGGTTCATCTTTGTTTCCAACTCCCTACCAACAATGGCTCTAAGGCCTCGTCTCTCATCCTCACATGGTCATTAAAACCCAAATGCCATGTTACCAAGGCCAGTAACCCACCTCAGGAAAGGCATGGTGTCAACTTATGTGCTTACAGCATTGTGTTTTGGCTTCCTCTTCATTCTTGGCCCCTGTGCATTTCCTTTAACCTTTTGGTGACTTAGGCTATACATTTAAAAGAATTCTTGTTCTATTTTATCTAACATGTCTAACAGTTTTGTAGTATGTGGGAGAGGAGGGGATGGTAAGTCAGGATATCTAGTCTTGTATGTTTCTAGAAACAATCATTCTTTAAATTACTTGAACATGCCATTCTCTCTCTCTCCTGCAGACTTGCTATTTCCTCAGGCAGGAGCATACCTTTCTGCTCTCTTCCCCTGGGCAACTCCTTCTCATGCTTCAGGTTTAGGTTCAGCCAATAGTTCCTCCATAAAAAGTTTTTGATCATCCCCACCCCATCTGTGTTCCTGTCGCCCCTGTATTTCTCCCACTGTGGCACTGAGAGATCCTTTAGCATAATCACAGAAAGTACTTGAATTACACTGTTTCCTATCAACATGTTTACCTTCCTTTCAGCCTGTGGCAGCAGGTATCTTGGCTTGTGACTGCTTCCTCTGTGTCTCCATACGCCTAGCATGTACTTGTTGATCAATAAAAATAAATATTTTTGAATTAATGAACTTTCCCTCAGCCACTCCAGCTTTGAGAACTTAGAAATGGGCCCAGAATCAGCACCCCAAGCTATCTGCCTCACTCCATCTCACCACGTCAACCTTCTTCTGCTTCTAGGGGATGTGACTGCCTCAAAGAATTTCCCAGACCCTGTGGGACCCTAGTGAGTTGTCCATCAATTTCATTCCTCCAGACTGCATGATTAATTGACTACAATGAGTGATCTCTAACATCAGGCCACTCTGACTATCACCGTGACCTCGCTGTCCATTATGGTCACCATATCCATATTCCCTGTGATGGCTAAGTGCCATTGCCTGGCCCCTGCCACTTAGGATACACATCCTCATCAAAATCAGGGGTTCCAATTTGGCGGCAGTGTTCCCCACCTTGGGGACACATGGCCTTGGGAACACCTGATGAAGTATTCGTAAAATATGCTGGCATTTTCTTCACCAACATAGTCTCAAAATTGTGGAGAGAGACTCTGCAGTCCCACTCAGGTGACATAGTCAGGGGATAGGGGGGCATACATGATAGTTCTCTTCCAGCTTTCCCCAAAGTTTTTAATTATTTTCTCTACAACATGCCAAGGGATCTCACACAGTTAAAATTCTGTGAAGTGCATCCACATTGACAATTCGGCTCAAACTAAAGTCGTGTTCCCCTTCCTAGTCAAGTACCCTCAAAACCCATTCCTACAAATACTCCTCAGATTGTGTTGGCCTTCTTTTCATGTTTCACTCTGCTTTTGTTCATGTTTCACTCTGCTTTTGTTCCCGAGTGGTTTAGGGTTCTCCACAAATCCCCCAAGAGAGGCCCATTCCAATTGCCAAGGTTTCACTATTTCCCAATCAACGCTCTGATTTTCACATAAGACCCCTCAGGAGCCTGTGAATTCAACTGGTATACTTGGTCAAACTGTGCAATTAGGGTTTGTACAGTTAGCTCCGGGAACCAAGCAATGTGAGAGATCCTTTAGCATAATCACAGAAAGTACTTGAATTTTAATCCATATTTTGTGAGGATGATTGAGGGAGTTCATTGCTTTCTTCCTTTGAGTTAATTGCTGAGGTCAGATGCAACCACCATGACCTATGGCACTTGAATTCCTCATACCTTCTTCACATTGTCTGGCAGAAGTTATGTGGTCATTCAAAGCTTGTTTTCAGTGGACACTTTATTCTAGGTGCTCAGAAGCAATAACTTAACTATTTCCCCATTATACTCCTGTCCAGAAATATGAACAAGAGCTTCACTGTCCCCTGTCCCATCTCAACCAGATAAGACATCCAGAGTTTCCCAGGGAGTCATCACCTCAATCCTACTTCCTGATACCATTTCCTATGTCATCCAGGGTTGTTGAATACAATCAACACAAACTGACTCTGCCCAACTCAAGTGAAAGGGAGTTTATTGAAAGTATTAATATGCGGTAGCGGTCTTGGGGGGGGGCAGTGTTGGTGTGTTTCAAGGAATCAACAAGAGAAGAGTGGACAAGGCTTGGGAATGGGAAGAAATTAAGTGAAACAGGGAGAGAGGGAAGCAGTGACTTTGTAATTTCAGGAAGAGTCCAATGAACACACTGCTTTTGGTGCTGATGAATCTTCAATCTTTCCTTTTCTCATAACCTCACTTGCTGGTCTGTAGACCTGGGATTGAACATATGATTTCACCAAAAGGAAGCAGGTGACCACAGTATTACAGTCCCACTTAGGGGTGGTTCTGAAAGACACTTGAGAAAGGAATTCCTCTCAAGGGGAAAAACTTTGACTATTATATCTGATTGTCTATTTTGTCTGGAAGGTGAGATCTGCATTAAGTAATTAGCCACTGATGGTTTGGTCAGTTTGTCAAGGACATGGAAGGAAAAAGAGTTAAGACAAGATCTGGGCAAGAGGTATGTCAAAGTGTTGTTGAATCCCCAAATTCAGGCTCGTGTAACAACGTGCAGCTGAAGCCAAACACTGTGATACCAGTGCTTGGTGATAGAGAAAGGTTTATTTGATTTGGCCAAAGTGAGAAGATGGGAGAGCAAGATCTCTCAAATCGATCCATCTTAACAAAGAGATGAAGTAGGGAGTCATTGTGTGGCTAGGGAGTAAGGGAGGGGAAGTTTCAGGGAACTTAAGGGAGAAGTCTGGGTTGCTTCAGTCTCAGGTAACATCTTGAGCAACCATACTTCTGTGTGTCAGCAGCTGGTCACAACTTTCTTTAAGGGCATTCACTCCTTATGTAAAACAAACTCATAAAATTTTCTTGTGCCCTTGGAGTTGTCTCCTCCTGCTTGACAGAAAAACAGTACACTAGCATTTAATAATCACTGTGACAACAAGGGGCGTTGGGTGGGCAGGAAGCGAGCAGTTTTCATGTGCAAGCAAACAAGGGCCTGGTCAGAATTTACATCATGTCAGTCACTGAAAATGCTGGGGTACTAAAATCTCAAGGGGTCCCGCTACAAAAGCACACGTGGAAAATGTCACAGAGTACCTACGTACTTCAACTTCTGTCACAGCACATTGTAAACATGTGACTAAGTTCTGGCACATGAGCTCAAGGGTGTATAGCTTCTAGGAAGGGATTTTAAAGGGAGGGGCCACACAGTTCTACCCTTCCACGTTCCTGCTAGTTGAATGTTGGTGAGATGGTGAGCGCCGGGGGCCATCTTGAGCATGAGGAAGAGAGCCACACTGTGGGGATG